CGTACTTTCGAGTATGCATTTTTAAATCCTGTATTATATACCATAATTCCTTGTAGGGGGAACATGATACTTGTGTATAGATCTATACGGGATTGACAATCCCACACCTAAGCTATTAGCTACAGCTAGGTTGGCAGGCTTGGGGTGACAAACGTCATAACTTTCCAACGCCTGAAGAACATTGATATAGGCATACTAGTCTAATAGCATGGTTATAAGACTCACATAGAGTATTAAAAACACATTGAATTACGGGGTTTTTCAAATGCCTTAACAATTTACACATAAAACTAATATTTTAGGCATAAAAAGCACTATTGCATTACGGTTTTGGAACAATTAAACTACCATCTACTATAATAGAAAAATATTGGATTTTCTTGGAATATTTAACAGGAACAAACCATTTTCATTCTTTTTCATATAAACATTATTACTAAATACTTATGAACTCACCAGCTTAAATGTTGACCTACTCTTTCAAAACCACTTGTTTTTCTCAGGGATTCAGTAATAAAGGTAAAATGCAGTTTTTGAAGAAGGGATGTTGCAGCGTTAGTTTAATTTCATTTTAAACATCATATTGTAATTTCTTTTGAAACAAGTATCTTTCAACAATGTAAACTTTTAAATTATATATGTGATGGTTGTATTGCTTTCTTTATTGTGTATTCAGTTGTTACGATACTACATGAAGTCATCCACCCTCGAACGATTTCGCCGTTCTGGTTTGGGGGTGTGATAGATAAGACTATTTGTCATGATTTACTAAAGTTAGTAAAGATGGTTATGCTTACAATATTAATTATAATTATGAGTCATTAAAAAGTCTCAATGTATAGTAGAACAAATAAGAAGAATCAAGTCAGCAAAAAGATAAAAGTTTCTCCAAGCTAAAAGGATGGGAGAATACTTGAGTGTCGTATTTTATGATCATCTTAATGATTATGAAAACCATATCACAATTTGATCCTCTAAGTACACCTTAGTGCATTTGTTTCGCTAAGAAGAGGAATTTGGAATTGTTGAAATGGTTAAACCAATTAAGATGAATCATACTTAATTCCAAAATCAAATCTTAGAGTCATACTCCAAGATTGTATATTGAGTGACACATCAACAAAAGTAGGGTAAAAAGTTTTCTACTCTTGTACATTTGAAATTGGTAAGTTGTAATGTTTTGGATAAAACAAATATCAACTAAGACCGATTTTCAAAAGTGTTTGTCTTGATAAGCAATCGCACTAACTCTTGAATATTTGTTTATTAAATAATGTTTCTTGACGGAGAGAACCTTATATGTAAGAGGGTGGTCGGAGTATTAAAGATATTGGAAAAGTTTTAAGAGCTAATCAATAGTCAAACCTATTATTAATCACTAGCACACGGCTTAAGGTTTGTAACCTATCGTGTTGACATATTCTGATTTTGTACGTGTTCCAGTTGGTTGACTATGCGTGTGAGTTCTATAAGTTCTAAATTGTTTGCATTACAAGATGGAAGCAATGGTAGGCCCTTGTGCTACCAAGTGGCAAAGAATTAAGATAAGATAGGTTCAATCCATTTGATTTTGGATTTGTTGCTAACCTTATCTTAAGGTTATGGTTATGATAAATTCACATGGATAGGAACACATACACCATAAAAAAAGTCTAAGTGTCATAAGGTTTCTCTCCAATTCATGAAAATGATTCCAAGGGAACACTTTCACTAAGTATATTTTAAAGAGTTAACAATTGTGATATTTGCATTCTCAAATTCGATTATGACTACACCATCCCTCTTCATGGTTTGAATTGTGAGAAATAGAAAAAGGTCTAAAGATTTAAGACTTATTGTTGTAAGTTCTAAAATTGTTTAGACACACATATGAGCATTCTAATAAAAGGTGTGTGAGCTGAGATAAAGGCTTATCGAAGCATATTGTGTCAGAAATCTGAACTGTTGTAAGAAAGTCAATAAAGTATTGATTTCTAGAAGTCCAGATGATTTCTGGATCTATGTCATAACTAGTGGGAGCATAAATGTTATGCAAGTAACAAAAAATAATTGTTATGCTAGTGAGAGCATAATTATTATGGTAAGTGTTGCAAGTTAGTAATGCTAATTATAGAAAACAAAGTTTACAATTCGCAAAGTTTCAGGGATGAAAAGTTGTTTTGATATAATTAAGGAAGAGGAACTTATACTTCATTTCAATTTTAAAAGTTTATATTGAGAATTTTAATCGAATTTAGTGAAGGACATATATGAATGTTATGTTGAAAAGATTTGACATAAGGAAATTTTATATATTGGAAATGTTATAGAAAAAGACTGGTGAAGTATCATGTCTTTATGTAAGACATTATGAATTGAATCCCATATGCTTTGGGTATAGGATCGATTGCATATGCTATAATATTATAAAAATTCAAATTTTCCAAATTCCTAGGGCATTAAGAGGAAAAAAGGACTAGAAATGGATATGACTAAAGTTATTAAACAGCTTCCTAGAACAATCCAAGGTTCACCAAAGATTGGTTGCTTATGGATAGTTGGAAGTATGGTAATGAACGGACCATATTGAAATTATTATTGCAAGACATGATTCTATTAACGATGAGTGTTCATATGGTAAATATGGAAATGTTTATATAATAGGAGTTGGATATCGAAAATCTATGAGAACGCTAGAAACTCTTATCCAATAAGGATGTTGAACGGAATGTGCTTTGAATATGAGACTTCAGATCTATGGAATTGTCTTGTAACAATCTCCAATGGAAAGTTTTGTAATTGATAAAGTCTCTGTAACTTGTGTACTTAATCATTACAAAAGGATCACTACATATAAGTTTAGAGTCTAACAAATTACTGTAAGTGGCAAGAACTTCGTATTCTTACACTTACGATAAAGATTTGGAATTGTGAAATGAGTATCGATGGAAATGTTTACAATTGATCTATTTAACAAAGGAAGGACCATAGGTAAACACAATATGCATGCTTGGAGCATGAGATAACTATTTGTTTTAATTCAATTGTAAGTTGATAAATCGAAACAATATATAATGAACAATGTGTAATCCATATTTTGATTAAATAAAATGTGTTTTATTTACACTTAAAAGTTTTGGGGCCATATAGGATTAGTATTATCATTGTGTTTCAGTTTGTGTGTTTTAACTTCCCGAATAATAAGATTATTCAAACTATCCACAGTCGATCATACTTTGTACATAGGTATGAAGCAAGACCGTCATGAGTTGGCTTGTAAGATTGTATAAGGTGTTATACATAACAAAAGTTGTGATACACCATTCATAAGTGCTCTTGAAATAAGATGTGAGTATTGGATTCAACCCGTACTCACCTGAATCACTTCATGGAATTTTTCACGAGTGATTGTGAGATGATAATATCATATAGTTTCCAAACTAAGATATATGAGTTGTTGACTACGAGTTGGTTGTACATTTATGATATGAAAACGCATTAGTAGCTTGATGTTATAAAATGTATCGTTGTACATAACTTAATGAGTAGTTAGTACAAGCATATAATGTTGAAGTTTATACGTTCCTTTATCCTAAGAGGATTAAAAGCGATATCTTGGGCCCCTCGATAATTCTGTTTTAACTTTGTGTCGGGTCCGATCAGAACTCAATTGATGTGTTCAACTTTGTTCAATGTCAGATGAATCAGAAATCGAGAAACAAATTGCAGGACAATAACTATGACTATGTTCCATGTATTTTTCCACATAGATATCTAGAGAACAGAGGAATATATGATCCCCTATCTGAAGGAAATGTCACTGACTAAGTTAGAGTTCGACATCGGATTTCGAAAGCTTATGATTAGTAAGTCGGATCCTGAAGTTGCATTGCTATTTAAAGTTATTAGACTTATCCAAGTTGGAGACTGTTGAATTTGGTGGCTAAGCCCATAACTCTAATTGGGATGTACTTCACCCGATTGTAGCATGGTCCTTTTGGGTTGCCTTCACCAGTGATATTTGGTAGGATGGAATTTTGAGAATAAGGTTATTTATGATTTATTAATATATTACAAGTATAATATATTAATATGAAATCATATTATTATTTAATTAGTATTAATCAAGAATTAATTTGGAATTAATTTGATGGTCAAAATGGACTAATTAAATATATGGTGATTGATTATGTAAATCAATGATTCTTATAGTATGGGCTAATAATCCATGATTATGTAGATGGGCTAAACCAAGG